TGCTGAACAGTGAGATGTGGCTGCCTTCTCTATCTCAATCCTGCAAACACTTCTTTGAGGGAAGAGCATTTGCCAAAATATTCGCAAGCAAGCACTGCGTTTGGAAGTGTTTGCAGGCTTATTCCAAAGTTTTGCAGTTATTAATTATCTATACTTTTCTGCTGGTTTGCCTCTTATTTTTTTTTCAATGGCAAATCTGATAGGCTACAATGCAGTTATTGTGCTGCTTTTATTATTATTATTTTGCATTTATCGCTCCTCGAAGTTTGAATGTCCTTTTGTCATTGGACTAAGGAAGGTTGAAAGCTTGATAAAACAAACCATTAAACTTTTTTTTAGTTGACTGGTTTACAAACCTGAATTGAAATGGTGAGCGAGGTGCCGCAGAAGTGTTTCTCCACCACATTGCCAACCCTTTGTGCCGTATGAAATAAATCGGCCACTTCCTCAGGACACAAGTCACGGAAACGCTCCACTGGCCGCAGAGGACAAACGAGGACATCTGAAGGTGGTATTGTCAAGGCACAAACGCAAATCTGAGTGGTCCAGAAGGACAACTGACTCAATCCCTAGGCTGTAACCTGCTTCTGAGCACTTTTGAATTGCCTGAATTTCTCCTCTCCAAGGGTTACAGCAAGAGCAACTAGAACATAACGCTAAATACAGGGAATCATATGATGCTTTGTTCAGAAGTTTCCTCAAAATCCTCAGATATGGGCAAAATGACTAAAATAAGGTCCATATGTTACTACTGAGACATCTAAAGAAAAGCAAAGTTTTCACAGACTCAGTTACCATTTTGATGGAGTGATGCTCATATTTAACACCCCTGAAAGTCAGAGACATTTCCTTTTGTGATTAAAAATGGAGGAAAGCCAAAGGAATTTAAGATGGGTTTGGGTGTGTGATCTGAGACAGCAGTTTTACAATGCTTTTCCACATATGTGGGATGTATTTTTGAAAATCTTAATCTTACACCTCTAATTTTAGGTACCTATATGTGAAAAAAGCTGCGACTATGCTGATAATAGCAGATCACTTATTTCTACATCACATTAATTACCATTCACAAGGAATGCTCACTTGTTATAAATATTACATGTTTTTAGAAATACATTAAGATAATTAAGACTATTTCCTTTTAAGCGTGGTGTTCATGACACTGCACATATACTTTGACTTTATTCTACCTTGGTGACTGCACTTCGTGAGTCAGTGAAATGAAGCTATAAAGTAAACAATGAAAGTACACAGACGCTATTCACAGTCACCTGATCTGCTGTGTTCACAGAAATTAGTAATTACTGTGATTCCTCACTTGAAAGTCAATTTTGTAACATTATTAATAGGGTGAAGAATTCTTAGCAGAGCCTCAGTTGTGTAAATCCAACAAGCAAGCACTTGGGACTTGATTCTCATTTCAATTCCCTGCAGACAGGATTTTTTTTCTGACTTACAGTATTGTGTTTGCAGAATAAAGACCTTAAAATCACCTTTAACATCACTTGAACTTTCATGACCAAAGGCTATGGAAATTAAAATCTTCTTACTTTTTCAGTATTAAAGAGAGTGTTCAAAGGAATATTTGAAGAAAATTAATTCCATGCCATTGTATTACAGTCATTTTTATTTTTACTGCATCTTGAAGCCTGCAGGTATTGAGAAATATTCTCTGTACTCCAGGAAATGTAACTAGGAGATGCTCTGTAGTTAACAGGCTCACACAAAGGTTACATCAACCTGATTTTCAAGAATTGCATGAGACATTTGAAATAAAGAAGGATTAATACATGTGAAAGATGATTTATTTCCATAAACACAGAGACAACATTCACGAAGTTTATGACAGGAATTGCATTTATAATTCTGATTGGAGGGAAAACCAGACATATTCTGGAAGTAAAGAAGTAGGGGCAGGTTTTGATCATTCTTCAGAGTCCAGATGAGGACAGGCAAGATTGCAATGGATATTTGCTAAAGTGGGAGCAGATTTTTCGAGTGAGCTCCACAGCTAGCAGCTCCCAACAGAACAGCAGAAGACTGGCCCCAGCTGTGGATGTTAATCTGCTCTGAAAATCTGTCCCTCATTTTTTTTAGTCCAGCATCAGCTATGCCACCACTATTCTCTTTTTCTCTTGTTATAACTTATGGTATTAAATTTAAGAAAGGAGAAAAACATATTTAGAAAGCAGGTACTTGGAAATAAGCCAACCCTGGATGGGGACAAAAAGCCTAGTTTTGTGGGCTTTAGTTCTAAAATGCTGTGCCTCTTGGAAAGCTACTGGGCATAATAAAACTCCTGCAATTTATTTGTGCCTTCCCAGCACACTGTACAAAGCACCTCCATAAAGGATGCTATTGGCTGAACTTAGGGCCCAAGGGAAGAGCTGGCAACTTGCTTGGCAGACCTGATTTCCATACCAGGAATAAAGGAATAGAAAAACTAATTAATTTTACTCATAAAAAGGAAATCCATGTCAACAGTAAAACAGGAAAAAGGACATTCGTTTAATCTGAGTTCATTTTTCAAAAGGAGAGAAGGGAAGCTTTTACCCTTAGGGCATCTGATACTTAAGTAGATAATTATCCTTCTTCTGCAGCACTGCTTTATTATCATGGGTCAACGAACCATTTATAAATGAAGAATTTCCCCTCATTTACCTCTAGCAAAACTACTGCTTACATTAAGACAAGTTTCCTTTCCTCCTTTAGAATTTTTTCCCAGCAGTTTCTCACCCTCTCAGACTTGTGCATGCCTCGCCAGCAATTGTTTGTTCTCTACCTAGCTCAGGGCCACAGCCACGAGTATGAATTTTTGCATTAATCATGGTTTCTACAACCTTATATTAACACTGTACTACTTGTCACTGTGATGCATTGTGAAAAACACGGGCTAAACACTGCTTGCAAGAGCTTTTGTTTCCACAGCACATAGCAGAGGGAGAAGAGAGAGCAACGTGAGTGCTGGTTGTGACCAAGGCAGGACATCTGTTTTCTCTTCTTAATTCTGCCTCTAATCCGCTCTGTCATTTGGGCAAGTTGTATCTGTACCTCTCTCTCTCCTCTTCCACACTTTATCTGTCTTATCTGCTTAGATAGCATTTGCCAGTTGGTGCAATGGATGTTTTCTTATTAGGCCACGAGGCGCTCTGCTCATGTGGGGCTGTGAAGCGCTCCTACAATATCAAACGATGTGCCCATAAACCATGTCATTCTACAAAAAGGATTTTCACTTCCTCCTTACATTACCAAGACTCATTTACAACTCAAACTAGATTTTAACCATATTTCTGTCTTTGAATGTGATAAATAATTCAAAGGCACAATCACACACTGGAGCATCTTTACTGAACTTTCCATCATATCAAAATAATTCTACAAAGAATAATGATAGAAATTCTGAATCAGAGCTAAATTAACATGAGAATGTAATTAGGACAACATTCAAGTTATATTTAACTATGAATATATAAAAAGGCAAATGTTAGAATGAATTCATGGATTTGAGGTCATTAAGAAAACAATCATCCACTGCAACTTTAAATCATAGTTTTTAACTACAGTTTTTAATAGTAGGATAGTTTTTAACTTTATATCCTGGTCAGATTTAAATCTGGATAAATGCTCTATTCACCTCAAAATTCTTCCTACGTTTAAAATCAGATAAACTGTTCATTGCTTTCTGCAATTACCCACTGCAAACACTGCTATGAACTACCGATGTGCTTCAGGTGACTGTGTATTAAAGATGCAAGTGAAAGTGAGTCTGTACTTATGTCTACGTGCAATTACTCCTTAGACAGAAGCATCTACTGCCATCTGAGATGCCTCAGGGCATCCAGCTGCCACTCCAGAAGGGCAGGAGTCTCCCATATGCCCTGTGTCATATCTGTCAGCCAGGTGGGAAGCCTGAGTCATCTTACGGTATCTGAAATGGCAGAAGGTGCCTATGTTTGGGCAACAGCCCCCACCTTTACAGAGTGGCTCAGCAGGACAAGGGGCTGATACCCAGCAGACATGCTGCATGATTGAAGACAGCATTCTGTCTTCAGAAAGTTTGAACTTTATGTTTCCTTTCTCTAACCACCATAATTAATAATTTTGTGATTTCTTCATTCATTCTAAACTGCTACTGACTGATGAAGTTTCTATTTTTAAGCTTTGATGTGCACAGCTGTTGTTTTCTTCAAATTCTCTGAGTCAGTCCACATCATTAGAGTACATGCAATTTAACATGTCAACTTCTCTATTTTAAGGAGTGGAAAACCTTCACACCTTATTATAATCTGCGATTGTACATTCCTCTCTCTAGATCTTGCAGGAGTCTCTCAGCTGCCTTGCTTTTTTCCCTAATACTTAAATATGCATACACAAATCAATATGCATACTCTCACACACGCTAAAAGCTCCATTAAAGATTTATTAAACAATTAGGAATGTCAGTATTTTCCAAAGACTACCAGTAGATAGTAGACTAAAACTCCAGGTGTGTTAGTGGAAGTGCATAACCATAAAATAGCAGTAAAGCCACAGTGGATCAGACCCATTGCCCCCAAACCGAGCTAAAACCTAAGGATGACCTATGATTTCAACAAAATCACTTGACCTTATATATTGGGCACAGCAGCCCACTCCCTGCACAACCTTGAGCAGGTTGTTTAATGCACCAAAGCCCGTGAGCCTCCTCCATAATTCAAATTAACAGCCTCTGCCTGTTAGTCTATTGAGATTGTAACCTGTTTAGAGAAGCTCAGACTCATGGCCAAGCAAGCATGGTTCAACAAGTTTCTACACACCAGCAGAGCAAGGATGCTAAAACACATGTGCCAGCTCTCAGCCCTCAACAGTCAAGGTTGCACGCATTTCTGTAAATCTCTTTCACTCTTTCATTGACTTTTTAGACCATGATAATTGGAGCCCTTTGAGACTGGCATTCAGAGTAATTTACTGCAATGTGGTTTTGCAGTGGGCACCTGGACACTGTCAAAGCTATGTTCAATTGTGCCAAGCACAAGTACAAATTCCCCATGTACATCTAAGTATTTAAGGATATGCTCACACTGAAGATTATGGGTCACTACTGAAAAGTGAGCATTTGTTAACTGCATAATGCCTTTAACTTGATCAGATAGAGAGGGCTCAGATTCTACAAGAAAAGCAAAGCACATGGCCAACATCTGCATGCTGACCACTTCAAATGCAATTTTTCTTCCACTAATACACCTAGAGTGGAGGCTGAAATCCAAAGGCACTGTAGCGATTTTTATTTGCTTTATCTGAATTTTGACTTTGAAGCCTAAATTATTGTAATTCTGCATTTAAGGCCTAAGCCAGGCTCTGTGTTCCCTTCAGTGGGATTCTGATCAACTCCGCAAAGTGCCCATTATAAATTTTCACACACAACTACCAAGGTACACACCTTCTGTGGTTCTGAAATGTTGGAAAAATGGCCTTTGGGGGGTCAAAAAAAAAAAAAAAAAGAAAACCAAAAAAAGAAACCCC